AAAAGTGGAGGGGTTTTGTTAGCAGAAGTCAAGCATGCAAACTGCTTTGGTCCTTCTGATCTCTATAAAGGGAGAGTCAGTTGCTCAAAATATATAGCTGGTAAGTGACTAGGTCAGGATGTCCACCCACTGTGCTCTTCATCCACTATGCCATGCTGCTTACTTTTTCAGATCACCTGAAGTTTTTGTTCTTTAGAAATATAAAAGGCAGTTGTATTTTTAGACCAGAAGACGTGAGAGTTTTGTGAATATTGTAAGTACTCTCGATCTGTTCCACAGCCGAGACTTTGAGGGCCAGGGATGGATTGCAATCCTAGCTGCTCACTGTACTCTTTCCAAACAGAAAGAGGCTTTGCTCCTCGGAGTCTCTCTTTCTTTATTAAACAACAGCCAGTTAGTACCTACTGACTCCTTTTAAACTAAAAATGCTGAAGTAACTTTTAATGCAATTTTTGGTTAAAGCTACAGACTTCATAGGGAAGACAAGCAAAATAAATCTTACATATGCAAGTCAGTATCTACTGTTGCTATTGGGAAGGATTTGAAATTGAGTAAGGTGAGCAGGTAAGGGTCAACAAGAAGGGGGCTCGAATAAATATCTAGGGAAAAAAATGTTCTGGCTGTGTGGATGTCTAAAGGATGAGCATTTCATGTGGAAACAAGTGCAGTCACCCTCAGTCGGGTGAGTGTATGGACAGTGGAGTGGATAATATGACTAGAGAATAAAAAGAAGGGATAGAATAGTGGATGTGATCAGATAGATACAAGTAGACCAGCTAGTAGGTCACTTAGAATTTTCATGTTAGGGTCGTAAGGACTTTGGACAGCAGTGTGATCTGGCTTGTATTTTTGAAGGATTTATTCAGCAGCTTTGTTGAAAATAGACCATTGGACCCAAAATAAGGGAGCATAGCAGTACCATGCTCAGCCTAATGTAGAAATGATGGGATGATGATGTGTTTTGCAATTGAGATGTGTGAGATTCTTCCTGTACACCTCCTGTATTTATGGGCATGGAAAGGAATGGGAGCCTTATCATTCTGAAAACATTTTCTTCAGTTGACTTTGTTTCTGTATAATGGTCGTATTTGCATGTGACTTTATCTGACTTGTACATTTCAGTAACGTTTTCTTGCAAGAAAGGGGAGCATGCTATCATGGGGATGCTATTTGTCGGTTGTGACGCTGTGGCTGTGTCTGGTAGTTGTCCCAAGATAAATAAGGCTGCACGGAAGTGCTGTTTGATGTGGAGGGTTGTGGACACGTCAGTATCCATCAGCGGAAGGAAATGTGGCTAATGGGGCTGATGGGCACCGTGGGGATGCTTGCAAATAGTCACATTGAGTTTCACTGCACACCCCTGGTGTACATCAACCAGTAAAGGGACCCCTCATTGCAGGCTGACCCTGCTGTTCTTCACCAGCCTCAAGCTTTGCTTTTTCTTCTTCTAAATGATTTTGATTAGAATTTGCTTCTTACTGCCTTTAACATCTATATGCTATGTTAAGTTTGCCTGGGAAGTTGTGTAATCTTCTGATACACTAGATGACGATTCAACTCCAGACAGGTGATCTTAACACAAACAGCCATGAAATTCTCAAATACAATTAATTTTGATGTGTGTGTTTGTATTTATGTGCTTTAAGGGTAGAAGATGTGTATTATAAATAAAATCTACAAAGTGTCAAAACTGAAAACTGATGGGAACTAATTGGCTGATTTAGTTGCTGCTGACTCAAAACTGCTTTTAGGAACCCCATTCCAGAGTGCTGGTTCATGTTTTGGCTGCTCTGCTTCCAATATGGCTTCTAGTTCATGTGCCTCAGAGGCTGGGGAAGGAGGACCCAGGTGCTTTAGTCCCTGTCCCTGATGTGGGAGACTGCGATGGAGTTCCTGGCTTCAGCCTGCTCCAGATCTGGCTGTTGTGAGGAATCACAAGATAGGAGATTTTCTCTCCACCTCTTTCTTTCCCTCCTGCCATGCCTTTCAAATAAAACATAAAGGAACTCAAATGCGCTTTGATAATCTTTCAAGGATATGTGTGAATTTTAACTATCCAGAATCAGATAAAATATGAATGGATATAGTACACATTGGTGTCAACATGAGCTCTCAGTAATACAGGGTGCAGTTCATATCCTGAGTATATTTAGTTAAGCATATTTTACATTTTTCTTAGGTGTGAAAGAACCTAGGTGATCATTTTGTATGGTTATGTGTTAGGAATATAAGGTAGGGGCATCATTGTGGCACAACAGGCTAAGCCTCCACTTGTGGCACTAGATCCCATATTGGAGTGCTAGAGCAACAGTTCAAGTCCTGGTTGCTCCACTTCCAATGGAGCTCTCTGCTAATATGCCTGGGAGAGCAGTTGGCCATGTCCAAAATGCTTGGAGCCTTGTGACCCACATGGGAGACCCAGGTGAATGCCTGACTTCTGGTTCCCTAACTTTGGGCTGGCTTAGCACTGGCTATTGCAAAGCATCTGGGGAGTGAACCAGTAGATGGAAAATTGCTTTCTCTCTCTTTCTGCCTTCCAAATAAATACATAATATTTTTAAAGGAGTATAAAGTAAAAATTATATTGAAATATCTGATTTTGTAATTTTCTTATTTGCCCAATGACTTACTGTCATTAGTCTCTGCAAAAAAAAGTGGATACTTTTGGGCCCGGTGCGATAGTGTAGCCGTTAATGTCCTCTCCTTGAATGCACCAGCATCACATATAGGCACGGGTTCTAATCCCAGTGGCCCCCCTTCACATCCAGCTCCTTGGTTGTGGCCTGAGAATGCAGTCGAGGATAGCCCAAAGCCTTGGGAATCCACACCCTGTGGGAGACTCAGAAGAGACTCTTGGCTCCTGGCTTTGGATTGGCTCAGCTCCAGCCTTGAGGAGTGAACCATAGAACAGAAGATCTTCTCTCTGTCTCCTCCTCTCTGTATATCTACCTTTCCAATAAAAATAAATCTTAAAAAAAAAAAAGTGGATACTTTTAACTCTTGATTTCGCTGTTTTAAAGTCATCTTTATGCCTTTCCCACTTTCACATCCATGATGTTTGGTAGTCATAGACATGCTCACATTTTTCACCCAGGAATGCCTAAGGTCTGTAAATATAGAGAAGAGGCAGCACAGGTGCATTTTTTGGAAACGAAATACCACGGTATAGAAACAGATTCACTGGGATTTATAGTGTGAGACCCTGTCACTTTACACCCAACTGTTCTCATTAGCTCTTACGTAGCATCCTCCCGCCACTCTCCCCGCAGAACTGAGGGGCTCTGGAAGGTGTAGACTAGATATTTTGCAACGAGATAGATTCGGTAGCTATGAACAGTGATGACAGTGTTCTCATGTTTGCAATTCCTCACCAATGCATTTCTGTACTTCTCATTCCTAGTGCCCTCTTAGAAATTTGCATTAGATCCAAAAGACCTAAACGCTGGTATTTAAAGTCAGGTAAAAATCTTACAGATATAATGCTGAGTGAGAAGAGCAAGTGACAAGAGAAAACTAAAATACAATTTGTCTTATAGACAGTCCAAATACAGGCAGAATGAAAACACAGAGTTAGGACCTGAAGGGTTGGTTACCCTTGTTTTGGGCTGTGTCTGATTAATGGGAAGGGGGAGATGTAGAATCGATCCGGGTTCTGTTTACACAGGTGCTCCCTTTCAGAAGGGTCATTGGCCTTTTACCCTTCAGTAAAATTCTTTTTAATACTCTTTTTAAAAGATGTACTTATTTTTATATGAAAGGCAGATTTATAAGAAAGAGAAGGAGAAACACAGGGAGAGAGACTTTCCATCTGCTGTTTTCACTCTCAAATAACTGCAACAGCCAGGGACGGGCTGGTTCAAAGCCACAAACCAGGAGCCAGAAGCCTGAAGCTTCTTCTGGGTCTCCCACATGAATGCAGGGGCTTAAGGCTTTGGACCATCCTCTGCTGCTTTCCCACACCACAAGCAGGAAGCTGGATAGGAAGTGGAGCAGCCAGGATGTGAACCGGCAACCATATGGGATCCCAGTTTGTGCAAGGTGAGGATTTAGCCACTGAGCCATTGCACCGGGCCAGTAAAATTCTTTCTTAAAGCCTTGTGTTCATAAATGGCAGTTTTGTTGAAAAGCTTTAAACTTGCAGAACAGTTCTTACACATTCATTGAATATTATAAACTGCCGTTGCCCACAAAGCCAGTTACCCTTGTGGTTGTCATATCTAAGCCAGTTCCATGTATTTACAGTCCTTGGACTCCTGTGCCACCACCCCAGCTACTATGGAGCCAGGTTGAAGTGTGTCATGAAGTGTTGCCCAGACACCTTTTTTGCCAGCAGGTGTTTGTGAAGGGAATGAGACACGTTGCAGAAAGACTCTTTAGCCGGGGTATTAATCCGTATCAACACTGCCAGCAATGTTTTTCCTGGAATTCTGATAAGGCTCAGAGCTTTAGTCAGCCTCTTATAATTTCACAATCTCTCACCAACTCTTCTCCATGCATACATTTTCAGAAGAGCACGGACCATTGAATAACAATAGCTCTGTCATGTTTGAAATGTTCTCCAAAGTCAGAGCCTGAAGGAAATAGACGTCAAAATTATTCTGAGCAAAACTCAGCATTAATCAAAATGGAAACCGATGGCCATGGCAGTGATGTTTCTCTTGACTGCGGACATTGGACTATAGCCATAGCTTTCTGATTCTGTAAACAGAGGAAACACGGCAACAACTTCAAAGATGTGGCTCAGCAAACCTTTCTCAGGTTTCACAGTTTTTACTGGCTGAAGCTGATGTGAATGTTGTGTATTTTGGGTCAGCCCAAGAGGATAACTATTTGCTTGCAAACCATTGCTTCTGCTTTTAAAATGTGACTTCTACTATTGCTGTTGTTGTTGTGTTGTTATTATTTTGGCTTTCTTTAAGTCAGTCTCATGTTTTTTAAACTGAGAGATCTTTTCAAGTGTTCCACCAGCAATTTACATGTCGTGACTTCTTTCTCTGCAGTATCCTCTGTCTTCGTCAGAGGAGGAGAGGCACATTTCCATCCGGCGACCTAAAACACCAACCTCAGGTGACTTCTCCGACCTCAATACACAGACCAACTGGACCAGGTCACTTCCACTGCCAACACCAGAAGAGAAGATGCGGCAGCAAGCACAGACAGTCCAGGCTGATGTGGTTCCCATTAACATAACCGGTACGCCCTGTGGGAGCACACGGATACGGATTCACAGTGCAGTTGGGAGCGTGACCATGGCTTTGTGTTGGTTCCAGGCTCTTAGCATCTCATGTATGCGCTGGAGTGAGCAGCTGTGATCTCACTGGCTTCCTGCCCTGTGTTTAATGAAGAACCCGTTGCTTGTTAGGTCAGAGGACTAGGTCGCCAAACCTCGGTGGTGAAGAACACAGTTGTCCTACAGGTCATATAGAGGGTGTTGTGTTTAATTGAGTTGCTTTTTAAATAAGATTGTGGTTTTATAGGCTCACCTTGAAAATGAGACCCTGTGTAAGAAAAAATGCATACTCTTCTTAAGGGTATTTATTAGATATTTGCGTAAGTGAAAAAAAAATTATTTTCTGAGATCTGTCAATGATAGATTTTTTTGCTTGTTTCTCAAGTAGAAAAAAAAAAGAAACATTCTGAAATAAAAAAAAAAACAAGAGACTTAAGAACTGTAAAATATTTTTAAAAATCTAATAGAGGTGATAAAATTATGTTTCTATTTCTGTGGTTTGAATTCCATAACCTTCAAGTAAGAATCCATTTCTCTGAGTATAATGAGAATATTTTACATTAAGCTACAGTATAAGTAGAAATAGCCAGAGCTGAAATTTAGGTTTTTCTGTAACATTATATTCAGCCTTTGTCATTTGTGATAAGGTTGTAGATAACAAGGTTGTTATCTTCCCCAACCTGGAAAGGGATGTTCAAAGGTATCCAAGAGAAACGGTCAGACAAGAAAGCTTGAGCAGGGCTGAAGTCTAGGCATGCTGGACTTAATATCGCAACCATGGGCCTGTGTGCCACAACAATAAATGATTAACAGTCATTGATCAGCCCACAATTCATAGCTCATGGAGTCAGAGCCTGAATTAGTCACATGACCCCAAAGTGTGAGTTTTCATGAAGAAATAGGATGGAAAATCACAGTATTCTTGGACTCGGAAGCTGCTTCCACTTTTTTTTTAATGTTTATTTATTTTTTATTTGAAAGCCAGAGAGAGATGGAGAGACAGAGATTCTGCAACTGCTGGTTCACTCCCCAAATGGCCACAATGGCCAGAGCTGAGCCAATCTTAAGCCAGGAGCTTCTTCTGGGTCTCCCATGCGGATGCAGGTTCCGAAGGCTTTTGGGTCATCCACTACTGCTTTCTCAGACCATAAGTTGGGAGCTGAATGGAAAGTGGGGAACCTGGGACACAAAACAGCACCCATGTGGGATGCAAGTGCTACAGTGTGGGGGATTAGCCTTTTGAGCCACCGCACTGAGAACTTTTTATTTATTTATTTATTTATTTTTGAGCCACCCACCAGAGAACTTTTTGCCATGACATTAGGGAGCTTTTAAGAGGTCAGTAGCATTTTGAGAATTATTGAGAATTTTAAAAATAAAATAAAAGAAAAAAGCTTATAGGATGTCTAAAAATCACATTTTGGAAATCTTATTTTGAATTCCATGGAAATGTACTAAATAAATGGATGAATTACCTTCAATTCCATGCACATTTTTTATGGTTATTATGCTTAAAACTTTAAAAAGTGCCCAAGATTTTATCCATTTTCTCTGTTGATCTGTCCTGAATATGTTACTCATCTACCTAGCTCACGTTTTATAAAAATTATTTTTGCAGGTAGTCATGTTTTCAGAACAAAGTATCATATTTATTGTTTGGTGAAATACATAAGTAATACTTTTCATACAAAGATGAGTTACTTCATTGATGAAATACAGCAGAAATGTAATGACATTATCTTTAATTAGATGCCTCAAATTTAATATTATAAGGAGACTGTGCTATTTAATATGACGATCTTTAATGAAATTACAATGAAATGTATTATCTTGAGATCAGGAAACTTTAAAATAGCTTCAAGAATAAAGAATTATTTGTAATGAAATGCAATGTCAGAAGAGAAGACAGTGCCATAACTTTGAGCTTTGATTCTCTTCTGTTTGATGACTAAATGAATATAAATTACCTAGAACTTAAAAGAAAGACTTGAAAATACCACACAGGAAAGGTGAATGACAAAAAATAGATGAGCAATATGAGTTATGTCAAAATGAAATTCACTTTTAATTGAGTGGTTAACATTTTTGCCGAAATGTCAAAATTAAATATAATGCCTCTTGCATATGTATTGATCCATTTTTTTAGATCTGTGTGTTCACATAAACATATTTCTTTAAGCGTTCATTTTGTAAATCTAGAATTAAGAAGCAATAAACCTGAACTTTTCACTTTGGGTCGTTGAACCAATGTAGGTTATATGGCTTCTTACTCTTTCAGAAAATTCATGGAGAATGGAATTTAAAAGGTAAATTTGGCTGTTTAGCCTAGAAGTTAAGACAGCACATTGTATATTGGAGTAGCTGGGTTCTAGCCTGGCTCTGGGTCCTCATTCAAACTTCCTGCAGATCCACACTCAGGGAGACAACGGTGGTGACCCAAGTCATTGGGTTCCTGCCACTCATGTCCTCCTGTTCACCCACTCCTAATACACTGTTACAGGCATGTTGGAAACAAATCTGTGAGTGAGAGCTCGCTCTCTCTCTCTCTGTCTCTCTTTTGCTACCTCTCAACAAAACGTTTTTTTTAAAAAGGAAATTCATGCTTATGAAGCATCTTCAAAAAGCTAATGGATATGTATATTATGAAAAGAGCTATGCATGAATTTAAAAATCATTCACTACAATGAACTATTTTTCGTTGTATTTTTTTCCATGAACTCATATACCAAAGCCCTAGATTTTTTGAGAAAAAAGTGTAGCTTCCTCTAGCAAGCTGTAGTGTGTTCGTTATTTTGGGTAAGCACTGATCCTCTAGCTTAGTTTTTATTAGGATTCGGTTAGGGAAATGGCGATAAATACATCATCTGAAATCCACAGTAAAGCCACATGTCAGCAGATAGAAATGAGGGACCAGGAACTACAAGCTTGCAGGTTTAGGTAGACGTTATAGTTAACAGTCCCAGATAGACCTGGTATATAATAGAAATTAAGGAGGGAAGGAAAGTTCTAAGAATGTCCATATAAATATGCTGCATAATCTTGCATGAGGGATGAAAACTTTCACGTAGAAGATGAGCATATAGGGTAAATTCACTTAAAAGTTTTATTTTAGTTGAAAGGAAGGGAGACAGAAGAAGGATACAGAAAGAGATGTTCCATTGGATGTTCACTTCCCAAATGTTCCACAACATCTGGGATTAGATGGGAACCAGAAACTCCATCCCTGTCTTCCCCAATGGGTGACAGGACCTAAGTCCCTGAGCCATCACCTGCTGCATCCCAGACTGTGTATTAACATAGGAAGAACATATGTTATCAGAAATAAAGCCAGGATGTAAACCTAGCATGGGCATGGCCTCCCCATGCAATGTCTTATCCGCTATGCCAAATGCCTACCCTGACGCACTAAACATTTCTTGTCAACTGACTTGATATTGATGTTTGAGCTACCTAATTATATTTAAGAATAGCAACTTTGTCTAATGCTACTTTGCAATGAAGGGGGATGATATCATTTTCACGTATTTCTTGGCTAACTATTTCGTACCAGGCATTAGTGGACTGCTGGAGGAGGGGCATAAAGCAGTCACGGTAGATGGCCGTGCACAATGGGGAGTTAGGTACCCGACTTCAATGATGGTGTGTGTGGGAAATGCATCCTCCTCTGGTCTGTTTCTGAATTTCCCTGGTGCTTATGGTGGTTTAATCCTTCGTCTTTAAAACTGGAGACTAACCAACTTCAGTTAATGTTTTGTCCCACCTTAATGTTTTCATACAAGGAAATGTTTTTCTCTGCTGCAGGAAACTAATGGAGCGTTGTGGCTGTGCCTTACCCATTCAAAGGTCACTTTTGCTGCTGTGCCTGGTGACCCATTTCTCTTGGCAGTGGTGTCCTCTGGGGTCTCAGGGTCTTCTTTTAGTCCCTTCTGTTTTTCTCTATTGGAAACAAAAAGTTGCAAACATTTACAAGTCTGCAAGCATTTATTTAACTTTGTTCTTTAGCAGGTTGGTTTGATAACTCCTGTTTCTAACACTCTATTTTGTTTGGATAAAGCTCACAATTTATTCCTTTCAAAATAGAAATTACACTGTCCACAACATTCCCAGTTTGAATATGTGTCAATATTGCCAAGGAGTGATACTTTTATGCATAAGAATGACAGAAGTATGTAATTTGTATGTATGAAAGTATTTTTAAGAAATCTCTTTTAGGAGAATGATCATTTACAAAGATCAATGATATAAAACTTTGTTTCAAGTGAACAACGGATCATCGATCACTGACACTGTTAACAAATTTTACTGTTTTATGGTTTTCCATGGTGTGTTAATTGTACAAGTTTGTCCTGAAGCATTTCTGGTTTGGTTACAGCATTACCTGAAATGTCTGAATTAGGATCAATGTTAAAAAAAAAAAATGACTATGAAACAGAGAGAAGCAGTTCAGCTTTAACAACTGCAATGCTGCTGGGTCTTGTTGTGGTTTAAAGTACTGTATCACCATAAGGCTTTTCATTTTTCTCTGTAATTGTATTTCATACCATAATATACTCTATCAAAGTCGGTGGCTGCCTTGTCTGAGCAACAAGCTCTTCCTCCAAGAACCCTGGATTCTGTTCTTTGATTCATTGCACAGGATGTTACATGGCTCTCTTCAGAGAGGTCAGATGAATACTTTGCTTTCATCACCCCCCCCAACCCAATGTCCATGCTGGTGTCTCCTCAGCACAGGACCTTTGTGGAACATTTCCAAAAGCATGCCTTTTAAAAAATCTCACGGGAGCATTCTTTTGGTGTGTTACAAATTTGTGTTTGCTACTCCGGCTCATCTGGAAATGAGCTCAGGATGTTTCCATTGCAAGATCAAACACACACATACATGCACGCGCACACACACACACATTGGAAAAGAGCCTTATGGTGATAACGTGCTTTCCTTCCCTTTTCGCCCTTCAGCTCCATC